TAAAAAAAAAAAAAAAAAAAAGAACAAGCTGGGCCAGAAGGGCAGTCACTGTAGAGGGCTCCACGCCGGGTCACCAGGAGGGGACAGGCACATGCCCAGGGCACTGAATGAAGCAGGCTGCGCGTCCCTCAGTTCCCAGCCAGTCTTCCCACCCTGAGAAACAGTTTGCTCACACACCAGCACAGTCATCCGGAGCCTGGCCTGCACCTGTCACCCCTTTCCTGGATGCCGTCACCTCCCCACATGGCTCCACCAGGCTCCTCACTGGTCTTGCGATGCTCCACAGAGGCCAGAACAACACTGGGAACATCAGAAGAGCCCAGGCTTCCTGGACCGGGCGCAGCCTCCCCGTCCCTCCCCCACAGAGCTGCCTCCACCAGCCTCCGCTCCCTGAAGCTCCCACGTCCCTCACGGCGTCCTGGTTTGAGCCTCAAGGTCTGCGACCCGGAGGCCCTGCCAATCTGGCGTGGCCATCTGCTGTTCGCCGCTCCCCCCCCCATCCCGTGCATGCACTTGTCTGACCAGTCATCTGACTGACCACTCACGTACTCAGCACTATCCTCCCCAGACACCCTGCTCACTTGTGTGCCCTGGGCACTGGGACCGCACTCGGCCACACACATGACTTCCAGTCTCGGCGTGCTCCTCCTGACAAGTGCTGGAAGCTTCCCATCCACAGATGAGAATGTGGAGCGGAGGCGCAGCCGTGGCTCCAGGCCACGTGCTGGCATCTGGCTCCGGGGCCTGTGCTCCCAGCCACCACACACACTCCCTGCAACCCCCTGCCCGGGGCGTCACGCCCACCCCCGACTGCAAACCAACACGCCGTGAAGAAGGGAACGGGCAGACGGCTCACAGAGGTCCACGTGAAAAGTGAAAGCCAGGGATGGCCCAGGTCTCTGGGAAGAAGACCCGGCCCCAGCGACACCTGCACGCCTGCACACACTTCCTGTTCATTCACTCAGTGAAGACACTACCGTTCTGCATCTAGATCTCTCCATTTACCGGGTTTTGGCAAAGCTCTGCATGAGTGCCGGCCATGCCCGGTGACGCAGGTGCTGCCACGCCTTCCCCAGGCAGGCGCTCCCCTCCGCCGGCTCTCGAGGTGCCGGACGACAGGCCGTTCTGAGAACATGCCTGTGTGGCAGTCCAGCTGAGGCAGACGCCTCTGCCGGTGACACCCCGGCGGGGGGCCCGCCCCTGCTCCCGCAGGGCCCCAGGGTGACAGGCACAGGGGCCTCGTGCCTTTCCTCCAGGACCGGGCGAGCATCCTCCCCTTCTCGTTTCTGCATTAGCTGCTCACACAGCCCGCTGATTAACCGGGTTATTCCAAGTTCTATTTGTAGACCTTCATGAAATATGTAACTTGACCGGCTTTAACATGTTTACAAATATTCTTCCCATTTGTCTTTGGCCGGCTTACCAAATGTGCACAGGTACCTGTTCCAGAGCACACGTGCGCCTATGTGTGCACGTGTGTGTTTATAAGCACAGGTATGTGTGCACGTGCACAGCCGTATTTGCACACGCACGGTATAAAACTTCCGCGCAGTAACACTGATCACTTCTCCTGTCCTTTATGGCTTCTGGAACTTCTGCTCTGCTTGAAGCTGAGGGCCTCCATCTTCAATATTATAAACAAATCCATCCATACTTTCTTCTAGAATTTTCATGATCTTGTAAGACTTTAATAATTCAAATCACTACTTTTAAAAAGTATTATCATAGTCTCTGTGTTCTGTTATTTAACTATGAAATATTTGTTGGAATGCAAGGAGTAAGTTAACTTTTTCTTTTAGAAACGATCAATTCTGACTGGAGCATAATAAAAAGGCAATGTTTATATTATCATCATGGATCTTATTTCTTTAGTTTGTTCACCATAAATTTTTCCTGATAACCAAAATTAGAAGAGGTTTTCCCAAATTATAGAGAAAAGTATGCAACAATAGACAATAAAATTATCATAACCTATCACTCTACTAGAAGAAAATCATTATTAACCCTTTATTCATATACATAAATCATATACGTGAATAGGTGTATTTCCAGTCTTTTTCTTCTTTATGTAGTTGAAGTGATACTGTATGTAATTTTTAACAACTTTACTGAAATAGGATTCTCCTTCTATACAATTCAGCATTTAGAGGGCGCAGCTCAGTGGTTTCAAGTATATTTACAGAGGTGGACACCCATCACCACCACCCATTTTAGAGCAGATTTATCACCCATCAGTGCTCACTCTCTGCTCCCCCACCAGCCCCTGACCTACTTCCTGTCTATGGATTTGTCTTCTCTGAAACTTTCACGTAAATGGAATCACAGAACATGCAGCCTGTGTGTCCGGCTTCTTCTAGGAGTGTGATGTCCTCACGGTTGACCCTGTTGCGGTTTGCGTCAGGGCTCCATCCCTGGCTGCGGCTGAACAACATTCTGATGTGTGGTCATAGAACACTTTATCCGTTCATTAGCTAATGAGTATTTGAGTTGTTTTCACTTTTTAGCAGTTATGAATAATGCTGCTATGAACATTCATGCGCAAGTTTTTTTACTGTGGTAAAATATTCATAAAATTACTACTTTAACTATTTTAAAGTGTATAATTTGCGGCATTAAGAACACGAACACTGCTGTGCTCCCCTCAGCCCCCAACACACATTTTTGTGTGGACAGGTGTCTTCATTTCTCTTGGGTCCACAGCCCGGAGCGGAATAGCTGAGTCTTACGGCAACTGTTTACCCTTTTGAGGAAACATCGTATTACAACCCAAATCTATGTTTTATAGTTTAACACAACATAGAACATCTTTTCTACATCATCTACATTGCTGAATGTGATGTTTCACAACCAAATCCAAACAATATCAATGGGATCAATACATGTACCGGATTCCTTATTATGTTTTTAAATTTACATCCAAGTTAGTTAGCATATAGGGCAACAGTGATTTCAGGAGTAGACAGAGTCTCTTATGTTTTGTCCCCCTCCCTGTTTTTATATTATGTTTGCTTCCCTTCCCTTATGTCCATCGATTTTATATCTTAAATTCCTCAGATGAGTGAAGTCATATGATATTTGTCTTTCCTTGACTGACTAAAGGCTCTTTCTATACTTTGGCTATTGTTGATAGCACCGCTATAAACTTGGGGTGCATGTGCCCCTTTGAAACAGCAAATCTGTATCCTTTGGATAAATACCTAGTAGTGCAATTGCTAAGTCATAGGGTAGTTTTATTTTTAATGTTTTGAGGCACCTCCATACTGGTTTCCAGAGGGGCCGCACCAGTTTGCATTCCCAGCAGAGCTCCTCTTTCTCCGCATCCTCGCCAACACCTGTCATTGCCTGTGTTGTTGATGTTGGCCATTCTAACTGGTGTGAGGTGGTATCTCATTGTAGTTTTGATTTGTATTTCCCTGATGATGAGTGACATTGAGCATGTTTTCATGTGCCTGTTAGCCATCTGGATGTGTTCTTTGGAGAAGTGTCTATTCATGTCTTTAGCCCATTCCTTCACTAGATTATTCAGTTTTTGGATGTTGAGTTTGATAAGTTCTTTATAGATTTTGGGTACTAACCCTTTATCTGATATGTCGTTTGCAAGTATCTTCTCCCATTCCCTCGGTTGCCTTTTAGTTTTGCTGACTGTTTCCTTCACCGTGCAGAAGCTTTTTATCTTGATGAGGTCCCACTGCCTCCGGAGAAGTGTTGAGTAAAAAGTTGCTGCGGCTGAGGTCAAAGAGGTTTTTGCCTGCTTTCTCCTCAAGA